ATCTGGGGTCTGAGTAAGTTTGAGAGGCAGAACAGCAGGGACAGGAGATGGTGGCACAAGGGGTTTGATTGCTTACGCTCGCCAATGGAATGTAGAAATCCATTGGAAACCGTAAATGGAACTGTAGAGGAGCAAAAACGCACCAAGTACAAACAGCTCACCAAAGAGAACCTGTTGCTTTTTCCTACATGTATAAAGACAGGTCCACTTGAAGCTGATCACCTTCACATATACAGTGCATCTAAAAACACGTGTAGCTCCTCTAATAGGGAAATAGCCAGAAGAGCAGTCCTAGTTCTAGCAAACACTGATTACACTATTAGAAGAAGCGCTGATCACTCGACATCCAGCCGCGGGCTCACAGTAATATTATTGAAGATCCAGTAATGAGATCTCCAGCTGTGTAGGGAGATACTTGCAGGCTGCTATTACCTGTAAATGCTGCATGACTACATAACCAAGGAATCACCAGGACGACAGCCCTCGAGTCAGCAAAAGGCAACATCCACGCTTTTATTCTTGACAGGTTCCCTTTAACTTCCTATGTCGGCTTTAGCAGTCTATATATGCAATAGATTTACTTTAAAATTGTCATGGTAACTGGATTTGGGACTTTTTTAGACTATCATCCAGGAGCCTTTAGTTGTACTTTAAGGAGGCACAAATAGAACATGGCAGACAGTAGAAGCTCCGGGGGCTCTACATTACACACCGTGATCTCTGGACTATCTCGGCTGACTGATGTCCCCCTCTGTGACCGCTGGGTATGTAAGAGAGTGTGTAACTACATAAACCTTACACGGGAAATATTATTGTAATGTCTCTCTGGAGGACTCCCAGCCGCAGACACACTTAAACTTATGTATATGTCTATTAATACTCATATATACTGTGTACACTAGGAGGTCGGCACAATCATCCAGGAAAGCTCAAATGCTCAGGGTTCATTTTATTTAATTGTTTAATAGGAGCAGAAAACAGGGAATGTCCCGAAGGATACAAATCAACTCCGAGCAGCTGAACTTCCCAGTTCTTTATAAGTCCTTACACAGGCTTCATGTACTGCTACCAGTCCAAACCATGATGGACCATACAGAGCATCAGCAGATAAGAAGTAGGCACTGTACAAATACAAGGACTGAATACAGATCTTCATTCAATTAAGCCCAACTCCGGCCAAAACTTTACCCTTCCTAATTGTGGAGGAGCGGACGAGGGTCAGAGCCTCGGTCAGGTTTGTACTGTTGTCCATTAGGAAGATTTCCCATCCAGAAATAAAGAACTGAGAGGGGGTTTTAATGAGCCAATAAAAAGGGTATCAAAGACGCCGTCCTTCAGGCAATATACAATCCTGAAAACCGCATATGAATACAAGACCAAAAACACACACACGATACCTGACAACGTTCCAACCAGTCTTGACATTTATACAGCTCTGTTATACAGCACAGTCCTGTCTAGCAGGGGAGGGGACCTGAGTTTTCTCTGCTGTAGTTTAGCGAAAACCTACAGGTCTTGTTCCTCCCCCAGCCTGTGACTGAACAGCGAAAAGGAGAAGCAACAGACCATTGAGCTCATATCTCTGTCACACTGCTTTCTCCTTGCACTGAAGCACAACGGCTTGGCTCTTGGTACTGCTTCCCTCTCCCCAAGTCTGAGCCCTGCTGCATAAGGTCAAGAGGCTGATACCAGGTCATATTATAGGACCATTTTTTTGTTTGTTAACGCAATTACCTCAACTCCAAACTTTCTGCATTCATCGATGGTTAACATGGCACAGCACTCTACTGCTGTAAATCGAACGGTGAAATGCTGTGTATTTATGAAAATTTGGCACAGCAAACATACTAAATAGTCTCATAAAAGCGGAACTCCACACAGGTGTAATGACTGTAAATAAAAGATCTTCACAGTTAATTCATACATCTGTATATGCCGGAAAGTGCAGCCATCAGTATAGTTCCGGCATGCTACGAGAACTGCGGCTCTTACATATAAACCATACTTTTGTGTATACGCCCCCCTTTCCCCTTATCCATTAACAGAACTCCTTGTATGCTTTATTTACCCGCCCCTTCTCTTCCCTCCCCATTAACAGAACTCCTTGTATTCTTAATTTATCTGCCCCTTCACTTCCCTCACCTTTCACAGAATTCCTTGTATTCTTCATTTATCCGCCCCTTCACTTCCCTCCCCATTCACAGAACTCCTTGTATTCTTTATTTATCTGCCCCTTCTCTTCACTCACCATTCACATAATCCTGAATGGTACAAAGAATACAAGAATGGGCAATACTTGAATGGACAAGTATGGCTTCTATGTATGAAATCCGCAGTTCTCATAACCACAGCATGCTGGAACTATAGCAAAACTGTACTTCCCGCCATATACAAATGTATCAACTAAAGTAGTATTAAATTCTCAATCTTATTTCAATAATACATTAGGAACAAATATACATTGCTCAGCAAAGGATTCCTTTACATTTTGGTCCAAGAACCAGTCATCGGGTTTCTAAACAGTTCCAACGCTCTCAACTCGGCTTCCCTGAACCCCCTGTCCAGTACAAGATCAAAAAGGGACAGAGCAATCCCCAGCAGCCATCCATCTACTAGCTTGGGGGAAGGAGGAGCAGAGAGTAGGGAATAGTTTGCCTGTTCCTATGCATTTGTGAAGACACACACACACACAGGTGGCACCATAGGACCCTGCATGGGAAAGGAGCCACCCTAAAACAGGCTATCAGGGCCGGTGCTCAGGGGACCAGCTGATTCTGCAGGAAACTAAAACGTCAAGAAGCAGCCTCCATTGTAAGCGATTTCATCAGCATTTGAAATAGCTTAAAAACATTTTGGACTTTATTATCGCTTTGACTGTGAAGTGCAACACTTCAAAAGGTAACTTTTGAAGAATGAATAAAAGATGTGTTGCCGTCTGTTCTGCCTTAAAAATGAAATTCGATTGAAAACGTGTGCTGGCTGACATGTTTTTTCCCCTTGCACAATGTTATCAGTGTAATCACACTTCATATCTTCATATGAGCAGCAATGCTGATGACCACAAAGATCTTTCCATAGAATTACCAGCCAACAAGAGGAAATGATAGACTTCCACTTCTTGCCATTGCGTAACCCCAGGAATGGCTAAGCCGAGGTTACCAAAAGGCAGAAAGAATGATGCACACACAGCACATGCCCAAACTTTGCAGCTGCTGTCAGGGGACTGGCATCTCTACTCAGGCTGTAGCTGCTTTAGAAGGAAGAACTGTAAAACCTTGAACACCTTTCTGTCTTGATGCCCTGGATTGTATTTACAGGATTGGAACTGAAGGTTCAAGTGAGCTTTAGAGCCCGTTCACACAAGACACAGTTCTGACCAGATCGCATTGCAGCCGGCTCACTTTGTTGTGGGGCGGGAGGGAGCGTGGCGGTCGATTGAAGTGAATGGCACCATAGCAACGCCCTCCGGCCGCAATGCAATCGCTTGCGAGGGAACATCAATGCCTGCGCTCCGGTCTGGTCAGAAAAAAATAGCGCTTGCAGCATTTTTTCTGACTGGACCGCAGGCATTCATGTGCCTTGCTTTCTTGTGCGGCCCATTGCATTGCAGCCGGAGGGTGTGGCTACGGTGCCATTCACTTCCATGGACCACCACACCCCCTCCCGCCCCACAAAATAGTGAGCCGACCGCAATGCGATCTGGCCAGAACGCACTGTGTCTGGTGTGAACGGACCGTTAGTCCTGTCCCTTAGCACAAACCTAAGGCCCACGCTCCTGTGCTGCACATGCTGGCAGTACAGCAATACACAGCCAAAGTTCTAAAGAGCACCGAAAAGTGCATCTGAAGTTAGAAATCCCATTTCACAGCAGCACGGCAACACCAAACACCACACAGGAATAAGAAACAAACCAGCTAGAAAAGTGTCCGCATGTTAGAAAGCGCCTGATCCCCATGATCCCCGATAAGCTGGTACCAGCGTCCTGCTTGCAGCTCCGCCCCCTTTTTACTTATACACTGCTAAGGTCAGCTGAGCAGACAGTACATGCTAATAGAACATTCTACCCCAGAGGGTGGGCAACACCGGCCCTCCAGGTGTTGTGGAACTACAAGTCCCATTAGGCATTGCAAGACTGACAGCTACAGGTATGACTCCCAGAGGCAAAGGCATGTTGGGATTTGTAGTTAAAGCACAGCTGGAGGGCTGGAGTTGCTCACCCCTGTTCTACAAGTACTTTCCCTCGGGGCACTGGGACCAAACAATCCTATCTAAAGACAGCTTCATATAGGCAGGGCGCTGTAATGTTCATAGAAAGCCATGTACAGCACCCTGCCGGCCCCCTCCAACTAGCCATGATCTGCCTGCATTGCATAGAGACCCAGGGACGTCCTGCTTAAAATAAGGGATGCAATGAAAGTGGAAAGTAGGGATGCACCTATACTTCGAGTACCAGTGCCGATACTTGGCATTTTCATGAGAACTACCAGGGTTGCAGCGGTTGCAGCTGGGACCTGGCTCAGGCTCTCCACCACTGTCCTGAAATCATTAGTCTGTATTGTTTTAGAAAAACAGTCACATGACAATAAACAAAAATGTATCAGTACTTGTATAGGTCAGCACTTGTACTCTCAAAACTGGTATTGGTGCATCACTTTATATATTTATAAAAACAAAATCATACATTAAAACAGAGATGTACAAATCCCAGGAGCTCCGTGTGCTCCTTACAAATGACAGCTGCCTCCTAACTTTTGAGTTTTTCTCTAGTCTAGTCTTGGAGCTGGATAAGTATCTGTACTTGGACTTGTACCGAGTACGGTACTTGGTATCGGTATATCCCTAGTGGAAAGGTTTTATTTGAAAATGTAATTCGCAAGTTGATGAGGGTGGAAAAAGGCACCAGGGAAGGCAAAATATAAGCAGCATAAACTTCAACCGTAATATATTGCTGGCAAACAAGGCAATCCAGATCCATACATAGTATATAAGGGAAAACTTACAGAGGACTGCCACTGCACCGGACTCAAACATCAGACATTCCTCCTTGTAGCGCGCCTCTACCATCAGGCTGAACGGTGGATCCAGTTTATGGAAGATCCGAAATCCTTTACTAAACGACATGTTTCTTGTGGGACCAGATAGAAAGCCCTGGAAAACAGAATGACAGGTTCAGAAGATTGTACAAGAGGCATCAATGACAGAAAGCGGTCCGGGTACTGACCCAAAAGGTATACAGAAGGTATAAATACGTTATAAAACCCCTGCCTCAGCTAGCATCACAATGAAGCTCGGAATGACTGAATATTTAAAATAACGATTTAGAAAACTTGCACGATGAAATAAATTACATGTTCAGAAGATATTATTATAGAATTTCACCTACTTAAAAAGCGCAAAGTATTTGCCGCCTGTTTACTTCCTAGATTTACACCCCCCCCCCCCCCCCCCCCACACCATCGCGGGGGGGGAAAAAAAGGGGGGGGGAGGGGGTGTAACAGAATACAAGAACATACTGATAATGCTGCAATCTTCTTTTAGGCTCCATTCACATGGGCCTGCATGAAGGACCAGCAGATTCCCAGGAATGTCCATACAGATGCGGCTGCTATACACGTTCAAGGTAAGGAGTGGATGACAGCAGCTGAAATCGGTCCGTGGCTGTACATGGAATGATTACCCGTGAATTGGGATAGATGATTATCCTGAGATGTAGACTGCAGACACACCTGAGATTCCTACCACAAGCACAACAGTTTTGAACATCCCTGCTCATTACCAGGTCCACAAAGCCAACCAGCAGCAGTGTTCGGGTATTCTGACAGCTGCACATCTTATCAGAAAATAATAGACCGGGGGGGGGCGATACCCCCCCACCCCACCGCACCGCTGGTCTATTGTATTTTCACAGGGCTGAACAAGAAAAGAAACTCACTGTGTCTAAGCAGCTTTACACTTTAAAATGACTCCAGATATAACTGAGCCCAGGGGCACTGCAAGTCTTCAGCATTTACCATAAATAGGAATATCAATCTTTGGGTAATGACCCATTGAACTCCAAGCAAGGAGTGAAACCAATCAATGAAGCCTTCAATGTACCAAGACATCTATCCACTTTACTCCTCTTATTTCTATGTAATCCAGCACAGATCAATTCCAGGAAACTCCTCAGTACTTCTGGCTGGGTCTGTGGCCTCAGTCTGCTCCCCGTCATCACTATACTACATTGTGCAATCTGCTTTCTCGCACAGAGTTCTCGATCGGTATAAACACAAGTGGTGCAAAACTTGGAGGTAATAAGTGCTCAGCGGTTCATTCCTTTCGTCCTATTGCTGTTCTTCTTGCCGGCTTCCCGAAATGTTCAGTTTTTGCTCCACTAAGTTCACTTACTAAAAATTGACACCTGATTGAGGGACCGCTATGATATCCCTGTGGGTGGCAATGGAAATACCCCGCCAGCGCTTTTAAATGCCACAGCCGCAGGTATTCCCCGATCAATTAATGGCGCACTACTGCCATCTCTGAAGTCCACAGCAGAAAGAATGTCACTTGTATGGAATTTTCAGAATGTTTTCTAGTAGTAGTAGTACTTGTCAAAGCATGCTTTGTATTAAGCAATAAAGCTATACTACACAATTAACCTTTTCACTGCCAGCGCCATTTTGTGCACACATGATAAAATGCAAATTTTAGACCTAAAAGTTACTTAAACCGCCAAAACATTACATATTTCCTGAAAGCAGAGACCCTGTAGAAGCAAATAGTGGCAGTTGAACTTGCACAACTCTTTATCAAATCTATAATTTCAGTAAGAAATACACTCAAATAAAATTTTAGTGCACACAAACAATATAATACACTCTCTGATCTCTCCATTCAAAGAACCCTGAAAGTGACAAGGACTTTGTCACTTCCGGGTTCAGTGATGTCATTTCCTGGCCCCTAATCAAGCAAGATCTGCGCTTGATCAGCTTCATTGGTCTGCACAGGTGACATTAGGGGGTCTAATAGACCCCTAGATTCTGATCAGGGCTCACAGAAGGCCACTTTAGGATAGGCCAATGTTTTGCTCTTAGCCATGCTTGGCTGCTTTTAGTTGGGTGTTTTGGGTCGTTATCCTGTTGGAGGACCCATGACCTGCATCTGGGACTGACACTGGGCAGTATGTTTCACTTCAGAATTTCTTAATAGTCAGGAGATTTTTTTTTAATGCACTGCACAGATTCTAGGCAACCCGTGCCAGATGCAGAAAAGTGGCCTCAATGCATAACAGAGCCTCCTCCATGTTTCACAGTAGATAGAGTTCTTTTCTATGAAAGATGAACTTCTTTATCTGTTAACAGCTCATGCAACCTGCCAAAAGGCTCCAGTTTTGTCTCATCTGTCCAAAGGACATTCTCCCAGAAACACTGTAGCATGTCAAATATGCATTTTAGCAAATTCCAGCCTGGTTTTTTTATGCTTTTATTTCAATAGTGGAGTGCTCCTGTGTCTTCTTCCATTGAGCCCACGGTCCCTCAAAACGCGACAGATGTTGTGATCAGACTCTGATGTAGATTGGCCTTGGAGTTCAGCTTGTATCTCTGGAAGTTTTCGTTGGCTCTTTGTCTACCATTCTCACTATCCTTCTGTTCAATCTGGAATCGATTTGCCTCTTGCGGGCACATCCAGGGGGGGTTGGCTACATTCCGACGGACCTTAAACTTCCTAATAATATTCACATTTGTAGATCAAGCTGCTTGGTCTTAGAACTTTACCTTTGACATGCTGGTCTATGCTTTGTTTCTACTCTCCTCAGACTTTCTTTCCTTTATCTGGTCCATGTTCAGTGTGATGCACACAATGATACCAAACATCAGTGACGACTTTTCTCCATTTAAATAGAGTGACTGATCACAAGACGTGTGCAATATTAATTACAGAAAACAGAATGAAATATCACTACTATACCATTATCTATAATCATTTCTAGGGGGAGCAACAAATCTGTCCGGGACATTTTAGAATATCTTTATAGAACAAGAAATAATTTCTCTCTTTTCAAACTTTCTTCGCTTCACTCTATGATATACTAAAGGCATGCCGGTGTTCATGAGACAATTTTTTTGAATGTCAACACATTTCTGGAGGAATGAGCTGTAAGTGTACCGATAAATTCGTCCAAGTCTATATACACTACCGTATATTGCCAAAAGTATTGGCCCGGCCTTTACACGCACATGAACTTTAATGGCATCCCAGTCTTAGTCCGTAGGGTTCAATATTGAGTTGGCCTGCCCTTTGCAGCTATAACAGCTTCTGGGAAGGCATCCACAAGGATTAGGGGTGAGTCTATGGGAATGTTGGACCATTCTTCCAGAACGCATTTGTGAGGTCAGGTACTGATGTTGGAGGAGAAGGCCGGGGCTCGCAGTCTCCGCTCTAATTCATCCCAAAGGTGTTCTATCGGGTTGAGGTCAGGGCTCTGTGCAGGCTAGTCAAGTTCCTCCACCCCAAACTCCCCCATCCATGTGTTTATGGAAGTCATGTTGGAACAGGAAGGGGCCATCCCCAAACTGTTCCCACAAAGTTGAGAGCATGAAATTGTCCAAAATGTCATGGAGTGCTGATGCCTCAAGAGTTCCCTTCACTGGAACATAGGGACTAAGGGGCTAAGCCCAACCCCTGAAAAACAACCCCACACCATAATCCCCCTCCACCAAACTTGGACCAGACAGGTCCATCGGATTGCCAGACAGAGAAGCGTGATTCGTCACTCCAGAGAACATGTCTCCCCTTCTCTAGAGTCCAGTGGCGGCGTGCTTTACACCACGGCATCCGACGCTTTGCATTGCACTTGGTGATGTAAGGCTTGGATGCAGCTGCTCGGCCATGGAAACCCATTCCATGAATCTCTCTACGCACTGTTGTTGTGCCAATCTGAAGGCCACACGAAGTTTGGAGGTCTGTAGCTATTGACTCTGCAGACAGTTGGCGACTTCTGCACATTGTGCGCTTCACCATGCGCTGACCCCGCTCTGTCATTTTATGTGGCCTACCACTTCGTGGCTGAGTTGATGTTGTTCCCAGTTGCTTCCACTTTGTTATAATACCAATAACAGGTGACCGTGGAATGTTTAGTAGCAAGGAAATTTCACGGATGGACTTATTGCACATGTGGCAACCTATCACGGCACCACGCTTGAATTCACTGAGCTCCCGGGAGCGTTTCATTCTTTCACAAATGTTTGTAGAAGCGTCTGCATGCCTAGGTGCTGCATTTTATACACATGTGGCAATGGAGGTGATTGGAACACCTGAATCCAATGATTTGGAGGGGTGTCCCAATACTTTTGGCAATATAGTGTATATTTGATCTGTGTATTTAGCTTTAACTGTTAACCCTTTATCTTCCATTACCTGTATATATGTTTACTTACAATACCCCAAATTCAGCATCATTAGTGAGGGCGTAGAAGGAATCACACAGGGAAAGAAGACAGAAATATATTATCTAATAAGGAATCATTACCAGCTGCCAATACACCTACTAGTGTAACATTAATGCTGACAATTACCGCAGTGGCTTCCTGTCATTCAATACATCTCTGCTTGTCATTCCCAGCCCTGGTTGCTGTCACTAAACAGTATAACGAGGAAAGAAGAAGATAATGCAAATACGCTAATTAGACTTATTCCAGAAAGGAGAACGTGACCTTTGCACATAATTGTTGGCAGCCAAATACACAGCGGGAAATTGTATGTCACTTATCTAGGAGCTCAGCAATATACGACCGAAGGAACCTACGCAAATGATGTGCAGAACTGTATACAGTGCACTCTATATTCATCAGCTCAATGTATCCTATGATTGGAGTTTAAGGATGTTGTAGGTCTAAAAGATCCCCAAAGAATTCCCTGATAACAAAGTGTTAGGATAAAAGAGTTTATAGGAAGGCGATGTGCCAATACAAGACTTGTCACACAACCCCATCTGAGGTCACTGCACACCGCACGCTGATCTGGCCATTGAAAGCAAGTCACAGTACGGAAACATGATCAGATGTTGAGCAAAAAGAGCCGGGGAACAAACACTCTGATATCTTTTAAGACTTCCTCTACTGATGTGCAGCGAGACACGACCTCTACACCAGTAGTTTTCAACTTACATGGGATAGGGGCCTCAAATGTGGCCCCTGATGTCTCCAAA